TGGTGATCTTTATATGAGAGGGAAGTTTTCCAGACAGTAAGTCAGGAAAGGGAACATTGGGGCAGCTCAACCGCAGTTTTGGGATGCTAGCTAGCATGGGGCAAATCATTCAGTAACATCCAACTAGGCATCATTGCATTAATGGTTGGATGAATTCAGGACATGAATTCAGACATTGGCTAAGTCCATTCAAACTTAGGGGTAAAACAGGGCAATTTTTGAGTTTGCTAAAATTCTTTGAAATTCGCGTTGAAGCTCATTTCAACTTGCCGGTTTTTGTCAAGGTGAGAGAAGTAATGAGTTGCATCCATTTTTAACCTTAGTCAGAGCAGAACAATGGAAAGGAATTGGGGTTTTGTTAAATTGGCATTGGATAATACCCATCGTGCCTATCAATTCTGCAGTTCCTTGAGTTTGTGCAGAAAAAAATCAACATCTGGGACATGTTTGCACAGGACCTTTCCATTGTGAGAACAGATCCCCATTTTCCTCTCACTCAAAATATTTAATGTTTGGTTGAGGAACCATGACACATGTGTTAAATTGCTCGTAGCAAATTGATTATGGCTTTTGCAATCTGAAGGGCTCTGTTTTGTTTTTTCCTTTTCAAAACTCTCAGTAAACCCTGGGTTGCTAATTTCCATATTTCCCCCCCTTCCTTCCATTCTGGGTCCCCGATTTCTGATAACTGGATGCACATTTGAACAGCTTTTCTTTCTTCTATTACTCTGTTGCCGGACAGCACCAGATGCCTCCATTTCGCGATCCCTTCACATTTACCTTGCCTCCAAATTTTCCATTTTGTCTAAAAGTCTGAAGAGCAATAACTAACTTGGGCAAAAGGCCCCTAGATATTTTCCACCAAAACTCTCCACTGAATTGTATGAGGAAAACTGAGAATTATTAATGGAATTATTATTGTGTCCCATCTAGCAGACAACAAAGCTTTGGCAGCACACTTGAGTTCAGTCCGCTATCATTCAGGACTTGTTTCCTGGACACAGAGAAGCAATCTGCGCTAGGACACGAACTGAAACTCAAAGGGGCAAGTGCCAATCTTGGTCTACAAGTCTGTAGAATGGCCCCATTTGGAATGCCACGCACCTTGTACCTCCGCCCCCCCCCCCCCGGAAGTTCCTGCTAAGCTATAAGAGGATTTGTGCACACATCCTTTCAGCTGTCAATCAAACATGTCAGAACAAACCGGCCAGGCTGAGCTGCTGTCTCCCAGTCTGACAGAAGAGGGAGAGATCCCTAAACCGAGGATATCCACTGATGAGCAGCCGCAGAAATCTATACACTAATCCTCGCTGACCATGTAATTTACTTTTGATTAACACTGAACAAACAGCATCTTGTTCTCTTTCTCCATGAGGAGAGACAGTTCAAGATGCCTGCCTAGAAAAGCTGTAATTAATCTCGCGTAAAGCACAGGATGGTCTTGCCTAGCAAAAGCTATTTTTAGGAATATTTGTTCTGCGTTGCATTTGTCAAAGGAAATTGAAATCCCTTGTGTGCCTTGTTCTCTTTCATAGATTAACCAGTCACATAATTTGCCCTGCTGTGAAATCAAAAGGACAAGCACTTGCAATGGGAATAACAGGGTCAGGCATCCTGAAAACAGAACTCTGGCCATTGAGTACAAGAGTAAGGCACATCTCTCCACACCACCCAGTTTGTTCTCAGTGTCTCTGTCTCAATCCCTAAATTTCCAAAGGTCAAGAGCAGACTTTTTGTGGAATCATATAAGAGTTGGAAGGGGTCATGAAGGCCATCAAGTCCAACCCCCTGCTGTTGCAGGACACCACGCTACACCATCTAACTCGGATTATGTATGGACATGCACAGGGCGGGCATGTCGTGAGTGGAGCTGGCTGGAGTCGGGGGTCAGACTAGATGGCCCGGGGGACCCCTTCTGACTCACTCTGTTACTATGTTTCTATAATGTTGTGACCACATATTGAAAGAATGTCTCAGCTTACTTCAATACTGCACTGAGGATGAACAGGCCATCGTGTCACGCCTTCTGAAGGCACCAAGGAACAGATTTTGGTTGGCTGCCCCAGGAGGAGGATGTGGAGAGACAACCTGTGATGGCAGATCCCAACTCCATGCTGAGTCCACTATGATTCTTGATTTGGAATGTGCGAGGACTCAAAGTCCTGCATCAGATTATGTTGTTGTGATAAAACTTCAGCTTGGCTTTTCCTTGAAGCATCTTGGAAGACTCTGCTTCCAATTTCTTATGCAATAAGGGGGATACAAAGATGATGATGACTTCATCTTCTCAGGCAGGATTAGTTTTTATTAGAAGGGGCAGAGCACATCATGAGAAAGGCGGGGCTAGATGAATCACCAGCTGGAATTAAGATTGCTGGGAGAAATATCAACAACCTCAGATATGCAGATGATACCACTCTCATGTCAGAAAATGAAAAGGAACTAAAGAGCCTCTTGATGCGGGTGAAGGAGGAGAGCGCAAAGTTGGCCTGAAACTCAACATTAAGAAAACTAAGGTCATGGCATCCGGTCCTCTCACTTCCTGGCAAATAGATGGGAAGAAATGGAGGTAGTGATACATTTTATTTTCCTGGGCTCCAAGATCACCACAGATGGGGACTGCAGCCAAGAAATTAAAAGACGCTTGCTCCTGGGGAGGAAAGCTATGGCAAATCTAGACAGCATACTAAAAAGCAGAGACATCACCCTGCCAACAAAAGTGTGTATAGTCAAGGCTATGGTTTTCCCAGTTGCAAGGTATGGCTGTGAAAGCTGGACCATAAGGAAGGCTGAGCACCGAAGAATTGAGGCCTCTGAATTGTGGTGCTGGAGGAGACTCCTATAAGTCCCTTGGACCGCAAGGTGATCAAACCGGTCAGTCCTAGAGGAAATCAACTCTGACTGCTCTTTAGAAGGCCAGATACTGAAGATGAAACTCAAATACTTTGGCCACCTAATGAGAAGGAAGGACTCCCTGGAGAAGAGCCTAATGCTGGGAACAATAGATGGCAAAAGAAGGGGACGGCAGAGAATGAGGTGGCTAGATGGAGTCACTGAAACAGTTGGTGTGAGCTTGTGTGGACTCCAAGGGATAGTGGAGGACAGGAAGGCCTGGAGGAATGTTGTCCATGGGGTCATGATGGGTCGGACACGACTTCGCGACTAACAACAACAACAAAGAAGCTTAAAAACATTGTTTAAAAAAGGAAATACTTTATTCTGTATCCATCAAGTTTTGGCAAATCATGCAAACTATGGGAAGAACCTTTCCAGATAAGCTGAAAATATCCAGGACTTCTTCCAACAATCTTATTAATCCCTGGCACTTGTTTCTGTGCCAAGGATGGAGCCAAAAATGTCTGGTTGTGCATAAATTTCCCTCCATGTTTAAACCAGAGCGCAAATTCTGGAAAAATGGGAAGACCACTGCTCTGGGTATTGCCTCCTTCTTAATTTTACCCCACCATTATCAGCCTGCCGTTTTGCTTTTCTTGCCAGTCGAGTGGGAAATGGCTGGAGATAAAAAGCCTCAAGCTTCTTAGCCTTCTAATGCTGCTGTTGGTAAAAGGCAAACGCTGAGGGAAAATTGAGCAAAATTGCCCATAATAGTCAGTTGTAGCTTTGTACAGCTTTAAAGGGAGCTTGCATTCTTGGAGAAGAGATCTATTAAAAGATCTTCACCAAGGTAACTAAATATAATCCCCATGTGAAGGGGCAGCTTGTCCCTGAGATCTAGTTGTTGAGAGATACAACATAAAAGGAAAGATTTCCTACTTGCTTGTTGGCTTCCTGGAAACATCTGCTTGACCAAGAGGATGTGGCACTGCATCTGTCCGTCTTGTGGCTTTTATGGTCACATACAGAGGCAATGTGGGTTATTTTTAACGTATTTTTCAGCACTCTCCAGCTGAAAAGAGTTCCCAGGAGGTTTACATAAAATAGAAGTTAATTCCTACTTGCAGGCTTGCAATCAGAAACAAAGGAAAAGGAGGCGGGGAAGATGATGAGGCTCACGCATCAGGTACAGATTAGACCAGTAGTCCTTCTAACCCGGCATTCTTGCCGGCCAGATGCTCACAAGTAGGATATGAATGCAACAGCACCCTCTTATGCATGTTGCGCAGGAACCAGTATAGACCAGCATATTCCTTGATGCTACAGAGCACAGCATATAGCTTTCAGACTAGTACCCTCCATAAATTAGTCCAATCCCCTTTTAAAACCATCCCAAGTAGACGCTCCTACATCTTGTAGAAGTGGATTCCACAGTTCAAGAACAGAAAAAGTCCCTTTACCCTCCCACCCATCAGCTTCATGGGATGATCCCAGATTGTAGCCCTTTGTGGAGGAAATGTTTCTCCTGATTCGCTTTTTCCACACCGTGTATGATTCTATACACCGGTCATGTCTCCCCTTGCTCATCTTACTGCTATGTTGAACAATCCCAGCTGTTGCAACTTTTCCTCCCCATGCGGTGTGTGTTACTCCATCCCTGCAATGGAGCAACACAGATGGGTTCTTAACGACTGCCCGGGGAGGAAACAGCTCCCAGAAGAGGAGGAGCAGGTCTCTTAGGAGAGCTAACGGAGAAACATTTTTCCATACCCATCCTTCCCCCTTGATGGTTTTGCAAGAGTGATGGTAAATGGAGGGGCAACTTACTACTGAGATGGCTGGAGATTAGGTGCCGCAGAGCAACATTTAGGTTTTGCAGCTTCTTAGGGGCTTTCTTCTACACCACCCGTATGTGGCCCCTTTCCAGAGTGTCCCACGCGCACACATTCCTATGCTTACACCTGTCACCTGTGAGACACAACTGGACAATTTTGTCCCTAGCTGTTGCCCAGCTGTTGCATTATAAGTAAAAGCATGCACAGTTAAGTAGTGTAGTAGGATAGTCCTGCCTCAAATTCATCCCTTGAAGAGTAAATTGCAGCTCCCTCCCTCCCTCCCTTGGGTGCATTTGTTTGATGACCTCAAAATAAGAATCCAGTCAAATATTAAAACACATGAGTATTCAATTTAATTATAAAGAGAAGACAACAGCAAGCCCACTTGCATTACATTCTTCCCCAGTTTGGGCAAGTTACATTGTTCTCCACAATGTTATATAAAGGCAAACTACATGTTAAAACAGAGATCGGTGTCCAGAACTATTTTTAAACTGTATATAGTCATTCAGGACTAAACGCTGCCTCCTTCCATTGCTCACAAACTCAATGGGCTTCTCGCGTCTGCTTTGCAAACTGCATTTGAAAAAGAAGACAGACTCTAGGAAAGCACAGCCCTGCCTTCCTATAACTAGTTCTCATGCCAATGGGGTCTGAACAGGAGACATTCTTGTACCCATTGCCAAAAATAAACAGAAAGGAGAAATGGACCCAAGTTAGCAGAGTTAGCGAGTGATGTCTCTCTAATCTTTAACTGTTATATTATTTGATCCCCTCGCCCCGGTGACAAAGACTTCAACATTCATCTGAAGAACAAAGAAGAGTAATAACGAGGCAGTGACGGGAACTGTTTGTGTTCAAGACAGCATCTTTTTCTACATCCCGAAACATGCAAAATATTATTTGGCCAGTAGCTAGGATAAGCAAATAGCATACAAGCTCAACTCATTTACAATCCGGTAAAGAACGACATGACAGAATTATCGTCAAGCTTTCGATTGCCTCTTTTACAACTTTAAGTGTATGTTTTTGCAAGTGGATTTATGTACCTGATGGTTAATAAGGCGAACTCCGTGATTCTAGCTGCACAACATACCATGTTTTTGCATATGATTCTCCACAGCTTTCTGCCTTCGTATTTGACTCTTCCCACAGAATGCATACAGACATCTAATGTCCCTTTCTAAAAACTACAGTGAAGTGAGTAGTTCAAGATAACCATAGCAATGTAGTGGACAGTCACTGTTCAGTTACCCTCACGTAATGCAGATCTGAGAAGTGAAAGCGTTAAAGAAACAACCGGGTGGGGGAAAGGTGAGCATGCCCTGCCTGTGTCCTTGCCCACTCCCAGCCCCCTCGCACCATTAACACTGTAAAGAAAAATTCGTTTCGCTCAAGCGCCCGATCTGGTGCAGCAGGTAGGTAACAGCTGGCCGGAGAAAAAGATCTTTGAACTCGTCTTCAGCAAGAGAGGCACTCCAATAGTTTAGCTGAGTTAATTAAGGCTTCAGAACAATGCTGGTTCATAGCAACTCTAGAGTCGTAGGATTGCACGGAGAATCGGCTCAGCCTATTGCTTCGCTGTTAGTCCTGTACGCCTGCTTACGCAGATGAGCCTCAATCTCATCCCTGAATACCAGCATCCCAAGGTGAGAATGAGATGCCTCGTTCATGGCTTTAGACTGGATGCACATGCGGTATTGCTCTGGCGTCAGTTCATCGGCACAATGCTTCTCATGCCAAAGGTGGAAGAGGCCAGGCACTGGGGTTCTGACCACCATGAGGTCGCCATGCAGGTACTTTCGATACAGGTGGACATCCTCTCCACCCCAGCCTTTGACTTCGAAGTCAAAGCCTCCTGCAAGAAATCGGAGAGAAATCAAAACACGGCAGTGCCAAGGATAAAGCGTGATCGTACACAGAGGTGCAGTGGAGACACACTGCTTGCCAAGACCCTTTGCAAGGTCCCTGGAATTCGCCAGCAGCACTTCCCTGGTTTTCTTTCATTCTTTTTCTTTCTTCTGGGAGAGGGAAAGATTAAGCAAGAGGGAAAAAGACTGCAACACCTGGTAACAATAAAAATAAGGAGGAGGTTTCATTGTGCAGGTATGGATTACAAGAACGGATCCAAGAAAAGACGCAAGATTATGTACTCACTGAAGCAAACTGTTCATTTTGTGGTCATTTTAACTGAGAGAAGTGCAACTTGTTCAGCAATGAAGTTGGTGTCATATTTTGTTTATTTAATTGAAGAATTAAATCGCAGTTCTTTGAAACCCCGGCCCCACCGCCAGAATTTCAGAGAATGGAGTTAACAAACCCACTTCTAATTCTTCAACCATTATTTGCTAGACTGCCTAACTGAACACCACAAAGCATTAAGGCTGAGCACCCTCTGGCACACGCTAGTTCACAGCAGATTCCCAACGGCCTGAGCGCTGAAACCAAGTTTTTGAAGTCTGCTTCATGTTTAAAATTTTCACTTGTGATGACTAAAACATATATGCCTCCCCGGGAAATAACCGAACAGGGAGCCATTGAATTCGGGGTTGGTCTCCGTGTGACTGTATTTCACAAGTTATATGCATGCTGACACCTTCAAGGGTGTCCTGTACTCCATGCTGCAGTTGCGGCAAGCAATCAACTGAGGAAGTGGTAGACACCGCCAGTTGAGTCACCCAAGGGGAAAAGGTCCATGTGAGAGCAGTCCTGCAGCTTGCAACATCCACAGAAGAGAGGCAGTTATGGAGAGATAAAAGAACACTTCTTGGTGGAAAGCTACTATATTTTTAAAATAACATTAGTACTGTATGGTAGCTAGAATCAGGCAATGTGATATTAAAATTCAGTTAAGCCACAAGGTGGAGCTAACATACATAGACAAAATGAAGTTTTTCTAGTAACTTATTTTTTGAATGTTAGGCTGAAGCAAATAAAAGCCAATGTGCCAATAGCCCAGGAGTTTATTTTCAGTTAAACAAGGATTTAATTAGACTTGCCTATAAGCCAAAAGGCAGGACAGAAATAATGTAATAAACAGAAACCCAAAAAGAATGCTTTCCCTTTAAGAACTTAAGGTATGCACTTGAGCAGAAAATCCATTGCAAAGCAAAGAGCGTCTGAGCAAAGTCAGTAATTTCAAAGGGTATTTGATACATTCCTAGACAAAGATCTCAAATGGAGGTTGTCAATCTTACCAATTGACAAAAAATCTGTTCGATACTGGCAAGTCATCCCAAAGCCGAAATCCCGCCAAAACCCAGAATCCTTTTTGTGCACCTGTAATTATAAAGACGTAGAAATGTCAGGCCTTCAGAAGTCTCTAAGGAACGAGCAACAAAGCAGGACCGGAAAGTCTGTTCTTCACTGTCTCACCTGATCCACACTTTAGTTCCGAACAGTTTTCCCCTTGAATTTCAGAGTGTGCACTGCCACCCAAACTTAGGAGCATGAAGGCAGACCTAGACGTGGCAATCAGTGTGGAGCTGGCAAGGATATTCTCCTCCACAATGTCTGGTTAGAGAAGTCTAGGACATCGTCATGTGCTTTGAACACGCTCTTTGTAGGAACGCACGTTGATTGTCCTATCTCCTTTCAGCTGGAGGCAGCTTCAGGCGACTCAAGTTGCTGTGTGTCATTATTTCCAGTTTTTCCCTGATGCAACACTTTGCTTTTATTGAAAAGGCACAAAGCCAAGCGTCCCTGGGAAAATTCCAGTTTATGCACTGCAACACATAAGTACCTGGTGGACTTTTGACCACTGTGGTATTTGACACAAAAGCACCTGCGCATATATACCACACATGGCCCGCTTGCAAGGCTTCAGGATTGAAAAACCTCCGCAGGCTTCATCTGCAGATACTGAAGCGAAGGCTCTTTTGGCTGCAACCTACGGGGTGACTTATATAAGGACAGGGAAGCAGATTTCGGACAGGCCTGCTTCATCCTTCAATTTGCTCCAGCAAGTGCTGTTCTGCACTGGCTCTGCCCAGAGGGAAACTTCTCAAGCATCTTTAAACTACTTTAAACTTACCAACTGCTGCTCCACAGGAGGTGGGACATCCTGATTAGCATAGACAATGGAAGGATTATACAGGCTGAATACCACAGGATAGAAAACTTTCTTGCCTACAAAGAGAGGAGAGATTGATTCCTCGCTGTTGGAGCAGAAAAGGGGAGCTGCATGGATCCACTTTTTATCCTTAATCCGTTAGGCAAGCAACAGCGCGAGAAGGCAGCTTTGCCTGCTCCAACTTCTGCTTAAAAACACCCACGTGAAGCAGTAGTTGTGGCACCGGGAAGGGGAAGACAGACAGCTGCGTGTTGCGTCAAATCCAGCACTTCTGTGTGCAACAGGCTCAACAAATACAATGTGGAGGAACTGTCAGGGTTAAAGACTTCACTTAGGAAGAGGATTATAAGCTGCCCTTTCAAATAGGGTCAAGGCATGCTAAGTAAGCAAAATAGCCCAAATCCCAGAAAGTCCCTTTTTAGTTCTGCTACAAATTTTAGTCCAACCCCCAATTTGGCTGCAATGGCCAGAGAGGGGGATTTTTTCAACGCTTGGGTCTGGATCGCCTTGTCACTCAACACATGGAGCTTGGCTGGAGTCTGGGATGGTCTCCCTCCCCAGTGAAAAACCTCAACAGCTAAAATCCATGATAGACCTCCTCCTAAGAAAAGAATTATGGACACCTCAACACTGGGCGGAAATCCCACGTGAAGGAGACCTTTCTTACACTATAGTACAACACAACATTTCTTTCAAAGGAAAGAGCTAATTGACTTCCAATGGTACGTATCTGTCTCTACAGCAAGTGCCACACACTAACCCAGCAAAACCCAGTGAAAACAAGCATGCGTCTCTCTGTGCTGGCCTGCCTGTGTTCTCTTTGTGAGGACTTGAGGAGGAGGTCCTGGGATCAGCATTGCTGCGCAAACATAGCCCTTCCCCGTCTGTCCCTGCAGACAAGCGGAAAGCAACTTGGGCCAGACAGGGGCGCTACTGTGCAATCACAGCTCACGGGGGAAAGATGCCGGGCAGAGGCAGAGGCTCAGTACAGAGGGCAGCATTTGTCTATGTTCAGAATCATGCCTCTTTGTCCCTCTACCACTTCAAGCGGGAGAGGTTGGAAAAGAGACATCTTGTTCCATCAAAATGCTGTGCTAGAGTTTAAGGACTGAATGGGATCCAGGGAAAAGCATGAGGGAAAGCAATGGCTTTGTGGGGAGAAATGCACAGGAGTGACAGCAGAGGTGTAGATTGTATTTGATGCTCGAAGCCCTTATTCTCCGGTTTTTGGTCCAGGAAGCATCATTTGTCTGTCTGGCTCAGCGTGATGCTTCTAGTAGCCAGTAAAAGCCTGTGGGGAATTTACAAGCGTGGCAGGAGGGCACCTGCCTGTCCTTGTTTGCTCTCAGCTTCAGGGATATGGAGGTGCACAACTCTGCACGTAGGTTTCATTTCACAGTCACTGATGCAAGCAGGGCTTCCAGGAGAAACAGCCCGGACTAGGTGGATCTGGGGGAAGGTGAGATGAGAATAACTCATTGTGAGCACCTCTCTCCCCATTTCCCCCTTCTCACAGATGCGGGCAAAAGTTTTAGAAACACGGCCATTTTTGGAGCACACCAGGTTTACAAGATGCATAAAGCAAAGTCATAATAAGGAGAAGTGACTTCTAACAATCCCTTCCTTCCCTCCTTTTCCGAAAGGCCTGGACTCCACCCTCAGGGTGCCTCATGTTGCTTTGCTTGGCTGCCTCGTTCAGGCTGTCCTCCTTTTACAGGGCCTCAGAATTCCCTCTCCTTGTTGCACAGTGTCCCCCTCCATTCCCAAGACAGTTTTGCTCTCAGACACTGAAGAATCTAGCTTGGTAGATTCAAGACACAGTTCAAGGCTTTCTGCCAACCCGCCTTCTCCCCAGAATTGGAACTAGCCAGCTGGGAATGCTGCACTCTGAGAAAGATGGTCCCCGTCTTCACATCGCCCAGCGGAGTTGACAGAACTTGGAGCTGGCGCAAGCACGGCCCACCACCCCTTCGGAAAGCATCAGGGACCATTCCAGGATCTTCGCACGAACATACCTGGCTCGGCATTCAAGCGGCAGCTATTTAAGAACTCAGCTGTGAAATAAATATCAACGTCGCAGAAGAACATCAAGACCTCGCCTTTTTCCCAGGCTCTGGAGCCCACGTCTAGTCCTCTTCCACGATTAAATTCCTCGTTCAAAGAAACCAGGGTGTAATTATGGAAGTTCGCCTCTCTACAGAAGGCAATGAGAGAAAATACCAGGAAAAATAAACTGGATGTATGTTTATGACACGTGAATTTGGTAAAAGGTTTCAATAGTGCAGTATAACTTGAGCCCGACCTATCTTGTGGAATATTTTTCCATTTATGCATGCTATATTTTGGAGTGGCACTATACCAGTATTTGCACACAATACACAGGAGAGATACTTGGATTAAGATGGTAGAGGCATTTCATTTTTACCTCTAAATTAAAGTGTTCCAAGGCAAAGCACGACACCTCCCTTACCATTAAATTTTGCTGAGAATTATTTTGCAATCAATGCCACTTTCCTCAAGTCCACCAGGACAGAACACAGATACACGTTATCGCCACCCTGAGACACTGTAAAGGGCGGGATACAAAACTTTTGAATGAATGAATGAATGAAACAAAACCTCCTTCACTGCTTAATATTCTCTATTTCGTCTTTCTTTAAAACTGAGACCGGAACCAAGGTGCCCTCAGACGTGCTTAAATACGCAACCATGCTCCACTGGAAGACCGGAGCTGAAGGAATGGACATCCCGAATCACGCACCTGAGATTCAGCATTTAGCTACCTTAAGGACTGACATCTCTCGCACACTTACTTCTTGCACTCCAGGCAAAAGAAGTCCATTTGCTGGCCAAAGCTCAGTGGGGGACCAAGAGATTGGGAGACCTCAGTCATGTACCATCATCGTGAAATGCCCTCAGGGCAGCTTGTCTGACTCTACCCAGTTCGTGTTCCACTGCAGGGGGGAAGCCCTGGATGGGAGCCGATGGCCAATTGTGTTTGTTTGCTGGTGCTGCAGCTAAGACTGGCTCGTTTTGCAGGCTGCTGCTTTTGTTTAATGGGGTTGTGTGTTTATTCCTGCTTGATGTTTGTGCATTCCTGTTTGTGTTTGCTTGTTTTTATACGGTCTGCTGCCTTCAGTTTCCTCGTAAGAGAAAGTTTTAAAAAAAATGCAAAAATAAATATACCCTTTGCTACTTGCTTACTAAAATGTGAGAATTGATAGCATTTGGCATTCTCTTTTAAGCTTGTCCCACAGCTGCACATTCAAAAAAGATAAACAGCTAACTGTCACTTTGTTTTATTTTCTAGATAATCATCCTGGGATGGGGGTTGTGTGTGGGTTGTTTGGGGGTTTTTTCAACAAATTTATACTTTGCTGTAAAGTTTTGACATAATTGTACATTTTCGCTTTTTCTAAACTCACCTAGCAACAGCTTCTAAGATGCTCTTGACTTCGGAGAGTCCCTCGTGTCCAAAATACACGACGGTGAGGTGAATCCGCTTGTCCTGATTAATGCACACTTCCCTGGCGGAACAACAAGGGCACTGTGTTACAGCACCAATTGTGCAAAAGGTCTCTCAACCAAGCATTTTGCCTGAAATGTTTGCAAGCATCACACACCACGGACTGGTAACTCTACAAACCAGCTTGACTACTGGCAAATGCCGTGCGAGTTTGGTTGGAAAAAAAGGCCTAAAATTCCCAGCATGACCAGGCTAAAGCATGGCAGGAACGACAGGCCGTTTTTCTATCTAAGCCTGCATCCTGTCGCCCTTTAAATTAATCATGAGTTACCATGCAACTACCTTGAATTAGGGCTGAAGTCTATTCCTTTGTGCCTTTTCCCCATTAGTGTTTCTCAAGACAAGCGTTGAAGCTAATTTCTGCTATCGTAGATTACATTTCAGGTATCAGGTGTTGCAAGAACTGTTCGGCTAAGTTCTTTAGTGCAGGAACCGCTAGCCTGGTGCCATCCCAATGCTTTGGACTCCAACTCCGAGCCAAAAGGATTAACAGCCAGGAAAGCTGGAAGTTTTAGCTCAAAACATACGGATGGCAATAGGGTGGTGAAGGCTAATTTAGCATCTATCAGAAACAAACGGCACCTGATTCATCTGAGAGAGAAGGTGCTTCTCCAAGCATGTTGGAAGCACCAGTGTTCTCTGAGGCCAACGGGCCAGAGATGGAGCTAATTCTCCCACAGGAAGGTTCCCTGTACTTATCCCTAGTTTTTGATCCGCTTACCTGAAGTTTTGCATGAACTGTGCAAACACCTCTGTCCTTCCAGAAAGGGGAACGATAATATTAATGATGGACCTTGAGATGTCAACAGTCTCACTTTTCACTTTCATTAGGGGCCCAAACGGACGAAACAGCGTGACGTGCTTGTACTCCATATCATCTGTCCTCTTGTAGAACAATTCGTATTGCGTCCCTTTGTCTCTCTCGGTGCGATAATAACCTTAAGGACAATTTACAGAAGGAATGGATTCAGTCAGGGATCTTAAAGTCTGCTGCTCCAGGAATTACTGCAGAATGTGAGGAATATATGGCTATTCGGGTTGGCACCCTGACATCATTTTTCTTCCCCCCCTGCAAAAAAAACCCCCCAAACTGGGCATGACGATCGGAGTCGCAACAAATGGCGGACCGTGTGTCTGCTGCATGAAAGATCCCAGGTTCAGTCACTGACGTTTCCACTCTAAGGATTCCAGGTACTAAAATGGGGACAGACCACAGTCCAATCCTGTGCAAACTGCTGCACATGTGAATAGATGTGGAAATGATCTGACTCCACCATGCATTTCCTGGCCCGTTCCTGAAGCAAGCAAACAGCCCTGAGCATTTTTCTCGTCTCTACAATGTTAGTCAGTTTGCTTATTGTGGACTCTACTTTTCAGAGAGAGACGCTGCAGGAAACAAGGTTCAGAGTGAAAGTCAGGCACAAGCTTTCATTATCTGTTGCAGATTTTTATTGACAGATTAAGACACTTAGTATGTCAAGTTCTACACTAAGCAGCAGATGATGACTGTGTTAAGCTGTGACTAATCCTTTTTGCAAGTAGATCGATACTTTAAAATCTGCTTACTGACGCCCAAAGAGTAAGTCTGTATTACTTTAAGTTTCTAACCTGCCTACTGACCAAATCAGGTTCCCAAACGAACTTGCAACATAATCTACAGTAACACATTCATAGTTTTATAAACCTATATATCTGATAGCCTTAGATTAGCAACTGAAATGCTAATTTCCAACATCTCTTTGAAAAATGCTGCCATCCCTTTATGTTTAAGTCCAGTTTGGGGCACGAACCTGATTCAACCAGGTGGTGGGGAGGGGAGAGAGTAGAAGGCCCCAGTGCAGTCTCATTTGTTCTTCAGGTAGCTCCCATAACCTGAACACAACCTACAAGCACTCAGAAGCCTGGCCCTTAACGGATGATAGACAAGGTAATCACTGTCCACAATCATGCACCCTTCCAAACAGCAGGTATTCAGACATGATAGACACCAAGGAGTAGCAGACAATTTCCTGTGGGCAGCCACAAACCCCGCCTTACAGGAAGTAAAATGATAGTCCTTCCTCCCATTTCCATCTGGTAAGTCATCTGTGGTCGATCTAACTGAATACAAGTGCCCGTTGCCATGTTTTTACACGTGCTGTTCAGATCGAACACCTGCAGTTAATTCTTTGCCTAACTGGAAGAGAAAAGGGATCTTTCTTCAGGAAATGCTTTTGTGTAGAGCTGAATGAAAATGGCCTTCAGACATTCTTCATGCTGCAAGTGGCAAAAATGGGAGGACCACTTTATGCGTATTCTCCAAGTGGAGGCAAAATCCTCCATCTGTGGGAAAGTTCACCCATGGAGGTGGTGGCACCGATTGTGGTGGTCACCAGACCAACCTACACCATACACCACAATGCTACAAACCATGGGTGTAGGCCAGAATGGTACATATTCTTGGTAGATGGTTGAAGAATTCACAATCTGCATTTCTGTTCTGCCCACTTTGAAGGATTAGATGCATAACAACTACAACACTGTGCATCCCTACTTAGGAGTCCTTCAAATTTAAGTAGTACTTCCTTGACAAGTAAGGTGTGCAGAGAATCTCAGTGGGCCATAGTTCTCCACCAGCAAACAGAATTCTCATGTGTGGCCTCCAGAATATTCGTCCTGGCTCGATTTCTACAAATACAGCAAAGACTACTGCTTTCAAAGTTGCAGTCCGCTGAGGATTAGGTAACCCTTTCCCTTCAAGAACACTAAGGGTCTGGAAATGCATTGTCATTAGATATTTGAGCGGGGATTCCAAACAAATCGCTTCCTTGGGGGAGACTAGTTCTGTAGAGAAGTAGGTAAGATGAAAGCTACTATCTGGAATGCTTCCTATTTCCAACAGGGAGCTTACAAGTTGGGCAGGGTGGATGACTTACAAATCAGGGATCAGCACCATCTCAGTGCAACCATTGGGCTCACCACCAAGTCACTTCTGTACAACTCAGCCCAGCTAATCTAACAATACGGAAATTCTGGTTTTGCTACCAGTATGGCTTGGAGGTCAACCAGCATACCCTGAACATTAAAATCATGAGCAACTACCCAAGATACCATAATATGGTTTTAAATTCTTATTCCTCGGCTGTGTACTGTATTATTGTCTTTTGTTTATTGTTGGGTGTTTAAATAGATTGTTTTTATTGTTACGGTATGCTTTAATCTTATTGTAATCTGCTTAGCAGGCCCTTGGGCCAATATAGCAGAATATAAATTTAATAAATAATTATAGTGATTAAAATGCCAACATCATCTTCCCTCACTTTCTCCTGCAAATAATAGCTCTGACTTCTTAAAGTAAAATATGGTATATGTACTTAAGTGCAACTTTATTCATTCATTCATTCATTCATTCATTCATTTATTTAAACAACGTATATGCCGCCCCATCGCATGAGCCTCGGGGCAGCTTACAATCATTAAAATTGCATATAAAATACAAAAAATTCATACATAAACAAATACAAAAAATAGAATAGAATAGATAGACTAGAACAGAATAGTGGATCCAGTCTGGTCAAATAAACCATTAACAGTTAAAATAGCATTTAAATAAAAAGGTCTTGGCCTGGCACGGAATAACAAATAAGGACGGTTAGTTTAAATCACCCATTTCTTAAAAGAAAGCAAGTGGGGAAATGCAAGCAATTAGCCTGCTTTGCATTCTGTTATCGTTCAGACAGACAGACAGACTCTCTTAGAGGGAAATCTTCAATGACATGTTCCTCCACAATACATGATCTGACTGGACACTACAACCAACAAATTCTTTTGAACACCGTCAGTTAAATAATCCTGATTTTTCTATATAATGTGAATTGAAATATTTATAATGTATTAACTGAAATGCAGGAATTCCCCCCCCCCCAGAATATATACCACATTATCAGTTCACAGTAACCACATAGGCACCTGTTCAAATACATCAACATTTTAGAAACAGACAGAAAGTGCTTGTGGTAAGACATGAATACTATCAGAAACACGAACAGTTCCAGTTTTATTTCTCAGTCTTCGCAACCATAGTATCTATATATGGTTTGCAGCATGATTAGCTTGATGTTCCCCAAGTGAATGGGCAGTGACCGTGATTCCAGAACACCAGACAAAATAGTTAAAGCAGCAAACAGAATAACTGCAGAGTAGCTACACTGACAATCCATTTATCTTTTACTGTAAGCCTGCACAGATGTTCAGCTTGTTGGTGGGACAGTCTATGTGGGTGAGGGATATGGTGGGTCACATTGTACCTAAGTCTTGACATCATAAAGCCAGTGTAGCAGATGATAACCTGGGAGTGACACTCTTGAGCACCATTGTGAAAGAGCCAAAGAAAAGCTACCTTCTCTTTATTTACACCCATCTTCAAGTCCTTGGCACTCAATCTGTTGATAGCTATAAACTGATTCCTGAACACTTCCTTAGGATTTAATGTGAGGAGATTCAGGTATCTGCTTTTAAAAAGGAAAACGGAATGAGCCTTTGCAGAGCAGGTAATAACGACTGCAGTTGGTAGGGAAAGTTGTTCTGAAGCAGAACATGATGAAATACTAAAGTAACATTCCAGGCCCTCTCCTTGAGCAAATATTGGTGGATACAGAGCTCATATCTAATCCTCAGTCTAGCCAGGACAAACTCTGCAATCCTGAAGGGATGGATTTGGCCATGGCTGCAGTTTTGGTTTTCAGGATTAACACATCTGCAGACTCTTGTATTTGTACATTCTGGAACTGTTAAATCAACTTAAAGAAAGAAAATCATTACGCTAGATTCCCAAAATTTCCCACAGCAAGACAAATCACCATGCTTGCCAGCTGGTCAACCTGTCGATTGCCTTTGATCTCAGCCAAAATCTTGATAATAAAGAATGTCCAATGGAAAAAATGACAGCACAAAGGGGAGGCAGGAAGCGAAGGTCTCAAATACTAGCAATGGACTTGGAGTCCTGAAATCCAGCTCCCGTAGGCCCATGAGTTTCACTGATTACACACACACACACACACACACACACACACACATTGGATGTCAGATGGGTTGTAAACAATGTTGTTTAATGAAAAGATCCAGGACTACTGCATAACAGTCCCTAAACGTATTGGATCTGAGCTGCCATGGTTTTAAAAATCTGTTTTATTGTTTATTATTTTAATGTATTTTATAGGAAGATGTATAGAAAGAAGGGGGGGGCTGAACAGCAACACCAAATAAACTCTTCCATGAGGATTTTCAACATGGTTTGCTCAGATATGTGTCTGCACACTAAAGCAGGAAAGCATGAACACAATCTTAGTGTTTGCTTGCCTCAATGGGTCACAGTCTGTTTATTTCTGTGCTTCTGGGGCTGCAGATGTCCTGTTCAGCTCCCTCACTGATTGGTTTTTTTTTTTTTTTTTTTTAACGGCGATGGGTGGGAGGAGAGAGAGAGAAAAGGACTGAACAATGATTTTCAGGTTTTGCCATATGACTAAGGATCGTCACTAAGCATTTTGCAGATTGGTGTGTATTTTCTGGTGCTGCGCAATTATCAAGTTAACAATAATAAAATTAAGCTTCAATAATGTAATGAAATGCATGGGCGAAACTATTTCTTAAAGTAACCAATTTCAGATAGCAAGACAGCAATTTAGTTTTTGGATTTGTGCTTGTCCTTTTTTGCAATTCTGCTGTGCACAGCTCCTAATAGTTAAACCTGAGCAGTCAATACTCCGGATGTCTTTTAAAATAGATTCCCAGTTGATCTATTTAAACATATGCACAGTCAGAAATTCCATTCAACCGAGTATGTCTGGAAAAAGACACTGCATCTGTTGATGCAAGTCAATGACATTCCAGTTGTGCTAAAATTTTTATGAAGTCACCAGTTTTTAAGATGCTGAATCCACTAAAGGAAGTGAAATGAAATGATAAAGAGGAAGATGAATCACTCATTGTCTTGTTATCTTAGTTGCTTAATTCTGACCAAAACCCTTCTGTTAACCAGCCAAAACAGTTAAGCCAAAACTATTTCCTCAGCCAATGGAAACTGCAGAGTGACTACCAGAAAAGTCCTTACTCTTGCTAAAAGGAAGTGTTATTATATTACAGTGGCCAACTACTAACAAACTCCAATAATGTATTGCCCAAAATGATTTTCCCTTTACTTGCAGAATTATTAAATGGTTTCTGTAATCCAAGTATGAACACAGTTATGAAAAGGGAATGTCTTTGTTTTCCATTATAAGCATTGCTCTTTAAGGAACTACATTAATAATCACACCTACAAATTACATAAGACTGTACAGTATTCGGAGTGTTTCATTTACACTATGAACTATACAACAACACGGCATGCAGGGGCTTCATGCTTGAGTAGAACACACATTCAATCTACACAAGAAGATTGAAAGACCCACCTGATCACACAACTACACAAGTACCCATCATCATAGAAATCAATCCAGGGATTTAAAAATTGTATTACTTACCACTGTGATGTGCCATCTTGAAACATTTTCAATTAGTCATTTTTATGGCTGCATTATGACAAGCATCTCATAGCATTCCAAAAAGGAAATAACTAATTTCTGCTCCCTGAAGGATGAACAGTAACATGAACCTATTGCAGACTAGACCTCCAAAATTACTGACTGAAAAACCTCCCAAAAGCAACGGATTATTTTATGCATCAGTCAAGTGTAGTTATAGGAGTTTTCTAGTTTTTGCTTTCTGGGCAGATCATACACTGGTTTCAAGGTACACAGAGCCAAGCACATGCGATGTGGAGTCACTAAAATATGTTTTTACCAGACTGCAGCTCTCATTCCCTCCACCTGCAAGGGTTCTGCAGCTTGTGAGCCACTTGATTTATTCAACCCATATCTAATTTTGAGCCAGACGCCAACATACTGAATGGTAGGTAATATATACCCCATGGTTGGTGGGAGAGGGGAAACCACATGAGTTTCTTGGAACTTGGTCATCCACAACAGGTTGCAAGTTAGTCCTAAGATTCTGTAAAGCCGAATCAGTAACTAGGAGGCAGAGGCTGAATGAGTCTTGTCACGCAGGTAGCAAGACGGCTGAGTAATTCAGGTTTTTTGTCCATCACTACATAAAGTCTGTGAACATGGGTAATAAGGAGGAAGAGCTTGAAGCTCTCCTGGGAATAGGAGGGTATGACCTGGTGGGAATCACAGAAACTTGGTGGGATAAAAGGCAAGTCTGGAATGTGAACATAGAAGGGTATCACCTTTTTAGAAAGGACAGGAAGGGAAAGAGAGGTGGGGGCATGGCTTTATACGTCAGGGAAGGGATACGATGCAGTGAGATAGAATGCAGCACATATGGGTTTCGGTAGAGGCAGTCTGGGTGAAATTTAGGGGTTTTGACAGGGAAAGAGACCTGACAGTGGGGGTATGTTATCGCCCTCCAGATCAACTTGAGACCCTGGATGATGTCCTGACAGACCAGATTCTAAGGATATCTTGGGGGAGAGACACAGTAATTATGGGAGACTTCAATCTCCCGGATATTAGTTGGGAGACTCACTCAGCGGTGACAGCCAGGTCACGTTGCTTCCTAGAAGCTATAGAGGGAGGGTTTTTCACACAGAGGGTCCGAGAGGCGACGAGGGGGGGAAACATCCTTGACTTGGTCTTGACCAATAGAGAGGAGCTGATAGATGAAGTACAGATTAGGGGAGGTCTGGATGCGAGTGATCACTCCATCCTTTCCTTTGAGATCAGGGGACTGGGGATGTGCAGCAGGTCGAGCACTAGAAGCTGGGACTTCAAGACGGCCAACTTTGGCCAACTGAAGGTAAGACTGGGGAAAGTCTCCTGGGATAGATTACTGGAAGGTAAGCGAGTTGAGGAGGGGTGGATGGCACTCAAAAGGGAGGTTTTGAAGGCGCAAGCCACTCTATACGACTCTGGTGCACCCACAACTGGAGTATTGTGCTCAGTTTTGGGCCCCTCATTACAGAAAGGATATAGCCAGGTTAGAGTCAGTGCAGCGTAGGACCACAAGGTTGGTGGCCGTTTTGCAGGGGATGGGGTATGAGGCGAGACTGAGGGAACTGGGTCTCTTCAGCCTGGAGAAGAGGAGACTCAGAGGGAATATGTTGGTGACATACAGGTATGTGAGGGGATGTCACATGGAGATGGGTAGAGACCTGTTCTCCCCTGCAGAGGAAGGCAGGACGCGCTCCAACGGAGCAAAGCTCAGGGAACCAAGGTTCCACTTAAATGCCAGGAAGCACTTCCTGACAGTCAGGACCCCGGGGGTGTGGAATGGGCTTCCACGATAGGTCATTGAGGCCGCATTGGTGAGGGTGTTCAAAGACAGGATGGGCATGCACATGGTGGGCATGTCGTGAGCAGAGCCGGCTGGTGCTGAAGGTCAGACTAGATGGCCCGGGAGACCCTTCTGACTCACTCTGTTTCTATGTTTCTAACCTTTAAGCTTAAGGTGGCTTTTTATCAGGCCGATAAGCTAATCATTGGAAGTTCATGTAACAGCTACTCTATGGTGCTATAGTGATTTTCATACATTAAGAAGTATTTTTGAGTTGATACAACTCTGAATACTGAGTTAAAGTCTCATGCATGGAAATTAAATCCTTAGTTAACTGGTGTCAAATGCACACCATTCTAAAAATGTAATGCAGGTATATATGTATTTTTTTCTGGAACATTCTTTTCCCTTTCTCTACATTCATGGGTGTAGTATTAAATGTATTGCAAACATTGGGCCAATAACTAGTTCTAGCCCTGTTTGGATATATGGAATTTTTAAAAAATTATTTGTTATTCCCTTGTACCATTCTTAGTGATACACTAAATTCTCTTATTACAAGAGAAGAATTGCAATTCTAATTATCAAGAATGAAAAAAATACCTTCCCCTAGTCTACCTGTAACTGAGGCTGGTTCAGTCTGGAAAAGGAGTGACGAATCAGAACACTCCTGCATACAGGCATTCACTCCCTTTCTGAATTGTGCAAATCTCACACAGAAACCTGGTGTGCTGATAAACTCACCTGAAGAATCAGAATCAGGCTTAGGATACACCCAAGTAGAAAGGATATGTGGGGTGGTGGGGACTTATACAAAAGTAGTGAGAAGCTTGTGCAATTCATGATCCCATCTCTAAAAACCAGTTTCAGCGTTAAGCCTGAACCAGACCAAGACTGCTACTAACCTGAAATATTTTAGCCCCATCGCTCACGCTTTGTACAAGAGCCAAGCTCACCTCTGTTTCACAGATTCTGCTTGTGCGTTCTGCATAGAATGCCTTAACACAAATTGTGAGTATATGCAAAAGCTACCTTCTATGAAATCGTTTTCATTGTAAAGCTGCTTGTCCTCTATGCCGTCGTCGTCATCTTGAGCATCCTCTTCATCTGGATTATTGATGACCTCCAGACCAGCCTCGACTACTTCCAGCAGTTCATCTCGCTTGTCTTTTCGGACAGGCTTCTCCTCCGGGTGGCGTGTGAGGCCCATCTCCAACTGAAACACTTTCATGGAGGTGAAGCTTTCAAAGGGAATGACTGCATATTCGCTGGGTAGCTTGGCTCCCATGCTCACTTCAGCCTTGTCTATTTGGGAATGCAGGAATTCTAGGAGATCATTGGGTGCTTGTTCTTTGGTGCTTTGGTAGCCCATGCTGTTGACTCTTGGAGTTTTCTTCTCTTGCAGCAATTTCAGTTTGTCACTCATTTCCTGAAGTTCCTGCTTTAACTGGGCAATCTGGCGCTTGAGGCTCATCGCCCTGGTTTGGTAATGCTCTTCCTGCTCCTGCAGAAGGGCTTTGTAGTGTTCCTTGCCAAAATTTTCCCCTAAAACACCAGGAAGCGACCCATTGCTATCTGTTTGTGGAGCACATTCAAGAAGGTACATGATCAGCAATAAGCTCAGGAGCAATGCAAGCCCAACCAGCAGCCATCGAGTCCTGGCTTGAAATATGAACCCTCTTCTGGGCATTCTTAGAGCACTTTGAGGTTTTTTCCAGTATATTTGGTCATATTTTGCTATTATTATCTGAAAGGATCCATCGTTTTAAAGAGGAAGGAAAACATTTATTCCAATCATTACATCCAATGGTACGAGAAGGAAAAAAAAATGTTTCAACAGTTGCTCTGTTCAAGAAGCTGTCGTCTTGTTCAGCTCCAGATCCTGGTATTATCACAGCTTCCATTACTGCAAGTAATTACAGTCAAAAGCGCCAGGTATAGTCCCCATTATTTTCAAAGTAATTTGTCTAAATATAGAAATTTGAGGTTACAAAGGTTTCATGATGCTTTTGCTTTCCAAAGACAACCAGCTGAACATGTACCATGAAATTCCAAGAAGTATAAAGTGAAAAAAGTTCCCGACTTGTGGATGTTCTCATACCATTTTTTGTTCACATCCATCTAAGCATACCACAAATGTCATCAGTTCAGCACCAGTGAGTTTTTTGGAGGAGGAGAATTTTGTAGGGTATTTTCCTCTGGCATTTGTCCTTCTGTCATGCTCTTCTTGGAAATCTGTGCTCTGAGTCAGCAAAATTAAGCAAGAACCTAAAATTAAATGAAAACGCACTTGGTTAGAACTACAAAGCGACCAGACATCTGGAAAGCACTTAAAGGCAAATTTTAATATCCTAAAAATGCAGACATGACAAATGACTAATTTTATTTTTTTGTACTAATCCAAGACGGGGAACTAGTGCAGAGCTTCAATTCTTCCTACTGGGTTACACGCCGCAGAAGCCCTGCTTCTTTTGGAATTGCTTGAAACAGGCTGATCCAAGGGGCTAACAGAAGACAGTTCTTTCAACCCCATAATTAGGCTGTCACAGAACTCTTTCCCTGTAATACTTAGTCATTTCTGGAAAGTGTCATAATCATTTTTCTTTCAAATAACAAATGTATTAAAAACCAATTCACCACTGCAGCTTCTCTTTCTGATTGTATTTTCTATCAACCTACAGCAGTGCTTTCCAACTTTTTCTATGTCCTGCACCTCTAAAAAATGTTTGATTAATGTTCACACCCCCCACAAAAGTAATATCAATAACAAATTGAACCCCTCCCAAAAAAAGCTTTTAAATTGGTGCTTAAAAGTCAAATATAAATTGAGCAATTAGAAAAAAATGTAAACAATAAAATCAATTCCAATTGTGAACATAAAATTCAATTAGTTCTTTGTTCCTGTGTCTCATTCACAATTTGGTCAAAACAGGGAACTTTCTTCCCAACCGTGATCCGTAAGTCAGCCTCTGGATTCAGGAGATTTCTAGATTTTGCCTTGATCGACAAAAGAGAACTGAATCCAAAAGCAAACAAAATAATATTAATTGTATTAATGGGATAATTTTAGTCAATGACAATGCAGCCTTCCTCTTTGTTGCACTGCTGAAATACCTTCTCACACCCCCTGGGGGTGCAGGCACCCCAGGCTGGGAACCCCTGACCTACATTATTACCTATTGGGGTCAAGTTTTTTGTAGTTCTTGCAGGATGGAAAATCTGACAGTTGGGAATGACAGAGGCAGTTGTTCCTGGCACACTTCCCAAGGCCAGGGTGACTCCAACTCTTTAGGTGGGGGTGATGAGGTCTGGGAATGAGATCTGCAGACAAAGATCCTAGAGGAGGAAGAGCCTGGCTCAAGGCCACCATCCCAGGTGTCCAGGCAGACCCTGGGAACTGACAGGTTTTGGAAACTCCTGGAGGGGACATGGGAGAGCCCTGGCTCAGGCTCTGTCCTCATGAGGTGGTGTCGGCCACCTGGCTGGAGGGCCTGTGTACATCTAGGAGGCTCGCCCATTCCCAAAGGGTCACACCCAGGGGGACTGAGCTCAGGGTCACAGGAAAGGAAGCTTCTCAGAAACAGTTTCTAGGTTGTGTTCAACCAATTGCATATGCAAAGACTCCTTCTTGGTTGGATATTAGTTTACTGACTGTACGTTGTGCTTTTTGCCAAGACCTGTCCATTGGGAAACAGAAGAGAGGGGAAACTCAGCTCTGGACTGGCAGAGATTTCGAAATGCAAAAGAGTGCGTGTTTACCCACGTCTGAGGTGGCTGCTACAGCTCTGTTTGTTTTAAAGGAAACGCAAAGACATGGAATTGCCTTCCAACTTGCAGGAGACTTGAAGACTTAAGATATTGGAGAACACCATCCGATAATTTTGTCCTCGCAGGACTGTAAGCAGGTAAAGCCGCAGAGAGAGAAGAAGCATTGATCACCAGGAGTGGGAAGAAGTAGATGGAAAGAACCTGACGAGTTAAGGACAGGAGGGGGAAGCTAGAGCAGCACGCATTAGTGGCTGGCTCCCTTTCGGAGTGGCCCAGCAGACATAATAATTCTGAGCAAAAGATCATAACCGACAGACAAGACCACTGTCTATTGAAAGAGGAACACTGTCAAGTAGTGAGTACCCAAATGATTAGAATCGACACCTTGAATTGGGCCTGGAACCATACAGGCAACCCATGTGAGCAGGACTGAACTGCTCTTAAATATCCAGATCTATGGACCCAAATTATTAGTGTGGTTGCATTTCGGATACGCTGCAGCTTCTGAATGATCTTCTAGGGCAGCCCTAGTAATCTAATTGAGAGATAACAAAGGCACATATTACTGAAACCAGGTTATAAGGAAATGCAATGCTGTTGACCCGGGTGCCTCTGCTTCCAAACACACTTAATATTTGATAAGTAATCTTCCTTTTTGATAATGAGTAAGCCATAATTTAACAAGCTGAATACTTTGGAAAGGGACAGGGATGTATCATTGTGTATAACAGATGGCCTGAAGGCAACTCAACAGCCTGATCCAATATCCAAAACCACTTCACTTGGCTTCCAGTAGTTCTACTTAAGCTAAGCTATGGTGTGGTAAAACATCTGCTTGGTTTCACTAAAGCAAGAAGTTCTCATTTTTATTTCAAGTGAATTGCTCTTAAGTGCATTCTGGAAAGGGAGCAGAACACTGAAAAACAGTGACTCACACCATTCCAGCGTATATATTCACCCTCTCTGATTTCAGCACATCCCTCTGCACGGAAATGCAACATGAGTGTAAGAAAAAACACCAGCGCCATTTTATTGGAATGGAAGCGTTAAAGAGAAGAGCACCTCAACGATCATGACTCTGAACCCAGAGACGCACTTCTAATATCAGTGACCTCCTCTTCTGTACTGTCACTGATCACTTGAATTTGGTGTGATCCACAGCTTTTGCCTGATTTTAATTACCTGCTTAACTACCTTTAAGGAAAGTGATATATATGACTAATAATCTGAAGGACGTATTTCAGCTTCCTTGTTCTGTGATTTACACCCTCGGTTAATTGGGAAGCAATATGCAAATTCATTCATCTCAGAAATTTACACTGAAGACTACCATCAGTGGCCAGTCTTATCCAAGTTACAGACTAGCATTAAACATAGGCAGATCTGATTTAAAAAAGCCTGAAATGCAACTAAGAATGGGAGGAGATGGAGGAGGAGTGGGTCACAGTTTAAATACAATGTCAGATGTGTCAAGAAAATGATCCCACATCTTATCTGTGAATGAGTCTTCTTAAAATCAGATTGCTAGTGTCCACACATACAACACTAACGTGATGTATGATTGGACCATAGGTAATAACATGGCACTGGTTTAAATGCAAGTTACGCTGCACACTGTATCAGGGTTAACATGTTGGCTGATCAAATATGTCAATGGATCTTGTCACCTGGCAGGGGCTTGAAGATTATCAAGCCATAATACTGATGATGGAAGAATTGGCCAGTTGCCTGTTTAGCTCAACTACCTTTAATAATGCTTTAAAAATAGCTGCTACTGCAGGTTTTTTTTTTTAAATAATTAACTAAAAGGTAAATGAAGGAACTGTAAGCTGACGCTGGGCTTCCAAGATAGAGACCAAAAAGGAGATTAATTCAATGAATCATCCACAACTACAGAAACCTTACACCAATACATTATAATATTTCAGTACATATTTTAAAGTTAAATACTCCTGTGAACCAATGAAACAGTGTAAGTATCACATTTGATACAAGCTATCTATTTCATAATTCTAATAAAGTTAATATTTTAACAATACCCAAACCATTACTAAACTCCTTGAGAATGTTACACTGGTCAATACTAAATGGTACAATTTATCCTTTGTGCCATGTTTAAACTGGGCTTCAGTCCAGAGACAGGGAAGCATGAAGTTGGTGCTTTTGTAACTGGGAAGGAGAGAGGAAAGCAGAAAGACATTTGGGCAGAAGTGAGCTGGGCAAATGTAGCCCACCCAGCAAAGTGGGCTACGGTTGACCCATCTCAGCTCCTGGAGGTCCAGTCTTTCAGATCACCATCACCCCAACCATCAGTGGACCAGAGAAAGGGCCACCAAATCCAGAATTGTGTTCACACAGCAAACCCACACACAGGACCGGAGAGCAGCAGTGACAAACCTTGCCCATGTTCCCCAGCCACTGGGGTAAAATGTACAGATGCCTCTCCTGCAAGGCAAAAATAATTATTAGTAATAGACTAAGACCACACCACTCACTAACACTCCACCAAGGGAAGCCAACCAAAGCGCACGCCTTGCTTTCATTAGGCTAGCCAAGCATTTCTTTCACAATAATGACCTAATGACACACATTTAGTTTTGAGACGAAGCTGATTTTCATTTCCCAAACGTTGCTTTTTCTAGGCTGCAAAGTGTTCCTTTGGCTAAACTGTTCTGTGGTTATCCAACTCAGAAATTTTTCCTCCAACAGACAAAACATAGATAATTTTCTTTGATTTTGTCTATTTAAATAGACTAAGTAACGAACATTTTACCAACATTTATACTTAATTTGCAGGAAATAGTACCCTACCATCATCCCAGGATGATCATTAAAATGACCATTTTCAAGCTACAGACTGAAATCATGCGTGGATCTACCAGAGCGTCTGCAACGAGCAGGATGGCCCCATTATTGCAAAAAGTTGCTGCAGACAAGCAAGCACTGTCTGGTGAGCTGGAAGAGGCAGTGAAGACCGCATATCCTTCGCTCAACAACTCTGGGAGTCACACACGCTGCTGGGTGTGGGCCACATAACGGCAGCAGAAGTTCCTACATATGCCTTTGGCACCAACTCCCATAAGCTCCAGCCAGACTGGCCAACAGTTATGAATGATGAGAGTGGTGATCAAATAAAACCCAGAGGGTACAAGTTGCCTTCTCCCGGTTCAAGATTTAGAGGAAAAGCAGACAAAAGATTTAGAGCTTCCCCCAGCCCTAAGCAGCTCTGACCTGGGCAAGGCCAGAAATGTCCCTCAGGCCTTTCACGAATGCGCAACAAGCACTATGACAGTGTATCAAAGGACCGTCGACAGCTTAAAGCAGCTGCTGGTACTTTGAAGATGCCAGTGGCAGAGAGTGATTATGCACGTAGTATTATCATAAACATCTTCTATCCAGCAACAAACTTCACATTACTACAAACAGCGTCCAAACTGAGGCTCATCAGACCTCCATGAGAAGGTCTGAACTCAAGATTACATTTGTTTCGCCGGCTGCATTTCTCACCAGGTCCTACTAGTAATGAAACGCACACAATTACACAGCCTACAAAAGTTGATATTATGTCCTGCCTTTTATCAAGGCTACATTCATTGATGGATTTGCCTTCATTTACAGAAATGATAACTTTTCTAAGAATGAATGATAACTGACTGTCATTTCAAAGCGTGGACGTACAAATTCAAGTTGGTTAGGAAATAGTTCGTTATAACCACAGGCCACATTAATCTGAAATTAGAACAGCATTCTTCTTCTTCTTCTCCCCCACTGGTTGCACAAGCAGATGCTTTATCTGTGAATCAGCTTATTTTGACAACTGTGCACTGCTAATAAACTGTGCTATTGAGATCAGATAAAGCCAGGACTGCTACAGGACCGGGTCTCTCTTGCATTCTTGTATTGCACATGCTTGGAACATTCAGAGAAGTAGCAAAGTTACTCACCCTTTGGATGGGTGTTTCGAGGGCTGTGACACACACAGAAAAGCAGGGCGTAGGCTCCCCCTTGGGTCCTTACAGTTCTTGCAACTCTCTAAGCCCTTTATTTATTTAAAATTTTCTACCCTGTCCACCACTGACATCTCGGGACGGCTTGCAATAAAGAAGAGATAAAATAAACAAAACAAGCACAGCGTCCAGCAACTCAAGATAAAAGCCCTAATTAAAACCTAGACATCAAAATAGTGGGAAAATAAAAAGGTTTTCACCTAATGCCGGAAAGAATATAATGTCGGCACCAGGTGAGCCTCTCTGGGGAGCATATTCCATAGTCAGGGTGCCACCGCAGAGAAGGCCCTCCTATGGGTATAGCCATCCTCCTGATCTTCTTCAAGGAGGGCTCCCGGAGCAGGACCCCACCTCAGATCTCAAGGGGTGGGAGGGCACACAGGGAAGAAAGTGTTCCTTCAGGTATCCCAGACCCAAGCCATTTAGGGCTTTATAGGTCAGTAGAAGAATGATGTGCCAGATAGTAATTAAGAAAAATAGTGTGTCTCTTCTATCCAAACTGTTGTTACCTGCTCCAACATTAGGCCAATTTGCACAATTAGCAGATTTGAGTGTGAATACTTTTCTCTGCTATGGTGGCTGCCTATGTTGGATATTTGAATTCTCTCCCAAAACACACTCCCTGCTTACACAAAAATAGAATGAATGGAAAGAGCTAGACTAAAATCCATCTCCCCAACCTTTCTTTATTCAGGGTTCTTCCTTCCTGGATGGAACATTCGAACACATATATATCCCTTTAGAATGAGGAAGAGATTTACCTAATTTCCCTGACTATAATCCATTAGTCCTTCTGTTTTAGTCTACTCAAGATTTCCTGCAGGTTTATTTAACCATCAAAACAATGATACAGATCAGTGATGCCAAAATAGTATTATAATTTCAGTGTTTATATTTGGCCCCATTCTCATAGCTCTGGGCAGTTTACAAGATATTAAAACCAACTGTGAGTGAAATTGTCCATCACGACATATTAAATAAAACCAACATGGGAATTAACCTGGGAAGACCTAATGGAAGAGATTCAGGTTTAACTCCCTCTTAAAGGTGGGAATTTGGAAAATCAGATACATCTCTCCTGGCAGACAATTCCACAGCTAAGGGGCAACCAATGCAACAGTCTTCCGGGTAAAATTTGTACAGCGCTTACCCGAAAGGACTGGAACTGCAGCTTACAGATTCAGCCCCAGCTTGGCACTGGAAGTCCAAGTTGTATGTGTCACTTATAGCAGCCTTTACCGGCTAAGTTTATGCCAGCTAGAGCTCATGGGAATTGCAGTGCAAACATCTGAAAAGCTACAAATTGCCTACCCTTGGACAAATGCGATGGCTTCCACATGGGGCTGCCCTTGAAGATTTCTTAGAAATTTCAGTTACCAATCTGGAAGGTTTTGTGTTAACTGGAGCCAGCTCTATGAAATATCTCCCAAGTACGCCAACAATGACACTAGTTGTGGGCCACTTTCAGGCACCATTCCAAGCATTGGTGGTCACTGATAAAAGTACAGGATTTGGGGGCCTGGTTATCGGAAGGGGTGCCTCCTGTGCTGTGAACAGGCCCGCTGCCTGCAGTCATTGGCTTAAGCGCCCATGTCACCCAACATGAGCTGGGCAAAGACTGGAGCAAGACTGTTCCTGATGTTATTCCACAGCAGGCAGTCCATTAGATTGACTAGAGTTTGCATGATATCCATCAGGTTTTAGCACTGGCATATGGCCTGTTGCTTTTCCACTTTTGCATTTTTATCGCATTTGTTTGTATTGAAGCATTGTAATCCAAACTGGGAGTCCAGCGCATAGGGACAGCTGACTTTCACAAGTAAGTCAGTGCTGAGAGAAGGGTATTCAGAAAGGTATCGAGTTTAAGGCACCCCCCCCCAACATGTACTTCTCTTGAGGAGATGCCCATTCCTAAGAAAGCATGCTTAAGAGATAAAAGCATCAGTGCACAGGAAAAGAGCATGTCCCCTACTACAGTTACCCCATTACTTTAAGAAAAGCATGCTAGTGAGAAGGGGATTCAAACTGCAAGGGTTTGAAGGCTCCCCCTCCCCCAACAGCTCCCTAAAGTCATACCCGTTTTTCTACTCTCTGTACTAACTTTTTGTACAGTACAGTCCCGCCTTCCCCCAGCCTGCACGGACATTTTACACCAGGCAGCAGGAGAATGCAACAATAACAAACCATCTTTTGGGTCTGCATGTACAACATGTTGCTTCCAAAGCAAGTACATATGCGCAGTGCTTTTCTTTGTAAAAAAAAAAAAAAAAAAAAAGTGCCAGAACTCACATCTTGTTAATCTTTTATTTAGGGTTTTTTTAGGGTAATATTTTATTAGCAGGAGCAGTGGTTGAGAAGTAATTAGTAATTTTTTTTTCATTTTTAAATTTGGGGTCACACTTTTACACTAAAAATTAAAAAAAAAGATTTTCAATTCATCAACTTTTTTTAAAATAAAGAAATTATTTACCTTTTGCACATAGCCAGTCACGCTACACACACCAACCCTGTGTGATGAAACATAATGGTCGCCGCCTGCAGTAAGCACTCAGCGCGCGACCACACGACCAATCACAAGCCGAGCAGCACCATCACAACCAGCGCGGGCACACAAGCAGCCCGCGTGCACTATTTTAATGATTTTGCCGCCGACCTGCTACACCCGGCAGGGGGGTTCAAAATCACGTGGAAAAATCCATTGAAAAAAGGTGCATTCTGTGACAAAAAAAAAGTCCTGCATATGTGCAAAAGAGACACAGATAATGTTTGCAAATGCACAATACTAGATGCGCCCCAAAGGCCTGGCACTGCTTATTCCTTCTACCACTCTGCTTTGCTTTTTCTAGTGTTGACACCAAATACCAAGAAGCATTCACTGCTGCCATATCTATATCCATATCCCAAGCCACTACAGAATACTCTGTGTGAGGTCAGATAACAATATACAACATCTTCAGTGCCACATAATTTGCAATGGTAATCTCTGGAACAACCCCTCCTTCAGCTATCAAGGAATAAATAAAAGGGTGGTTGGAAAACCAGCAACAATTAAAGACTGGCCTGAAGTATGATTTACACAAATCATACCTCGAAGTTACCTCGAAGCAATGCAGTCAAGTAACTGTGTATGGCATACCAATGCAAAAACAATTTTCCAGGGAATTTTGTTAAGAGCTGTTTAACTCTAAGGTCAGCTAGTCCAAGCTGTAAGCCCCACATCATCTTTAACTCCTCCATGCACCATGTCTGTAGTTTCACACGGCATAAAAGTGCGGGGTCAGTACAGCCCTAATGAATTTCTCTCTCAACACTGCCTTAATAATTTCTGCAGTAAACTTTCTTGGATTTGCTTTGGATATAACCGTTCTGTGGCTTCATTTTGATGACAATCAGGCTAGGAAATATAAGAGAGGTTCTATGAATATGTCTGATTTTCCAAAAGCAAGCAACCCCC